TAAATGTTGATTTATACACATCCAAGCACACAGGTACACCCACAGATGGATTTCACGTGTGCGGAAAGGGGCAGGCGTGTCTAACCCCACTCTGACATTCATACAGGAGCACATCAAGACAGATGCTGTGTGTGTGTGTGTGTGCACATCACAAACATCATCTCTCTCAACTCCATCTCCCTCGGGGTGTCAGCAGAACCCCTGCACTCACTGGGGCTCCCTGATTCACACACAGCCAGAGAAAACCCACCTTCTATTTCACACCCGTGCTGCCCCACACAAACGTGTTTATGCCCTTGGATTTACGTTCTGAGTGTGAGCAGCCCCGTTCACAAGTCACCCAGTCTTGCCCTAAGGCCCACAGCCCAAATTAAAGCCCTTTTTGCTGCTCTACATTCCAGGTGAGACACCTGATGTCATCAGCATCAGGTGTCTCACCAGGGCTGGGTGAAATCCTGCTTTTTCAGTCACAGAATCCCAGAATGGTTTGGGTTGGAAGGGACTGTTAAGGACTGCTGAAAGCCCAGAGCTGTTTATGCCGATGCATCTCCCTGGCCTGAATAAACCACAGTGATGTTTAACAGCCTTTCCATGAGGAATCACACAAATTAACTTGTTGGTACAGAAACAGGCAGATTGCTCAGCTGGAATAAGCTGCCCACTGAAAGCTCCTGGGATTAGTCAGAGCACAGGATCCAAACTGTCCACTGATAAATACTCAGCTCTTTCCTCCTTCCAAGCTGCCCGTTGCCCTGCCAGCAGCCAGAGATATTCAGGGAGAGAGGAGAAATGTGACAAACACCACTCTAAAGCTTTCCAAAATGTCCCCCCATGGACGGGGTAGAGTCACATCCCTGCTCCCAACAAGCCAAGGGACAACAGTCCCCAAAGCTGTGCCAGGGCCTGGCAGTTCCCACACCCTCATCACATCACCCCCAGCTCCCCAGCAAGGCACCTCCTGCATTCATTCACCCAGAATGTGAAGGGATGACACCTTCTTGCAGGGTATTCCCAGCTGTAGTTAATCCATGTTTATAAAGCACCCATGGACTCTTCCCGCAAGTGCCAAAGTCTTGATGCCAAATAAAACCAACCTCATTCCTGTCCAACGAACATGTGGAATTTCCCAATCTTTCCCTCTCCTAGTGTTACCGTCCTTATCACAAAAGGCCTTAATAAATGTCTTTTCCTACTGACTTTGTGTGTGTTTTTATTTCTTTTTCCTACTGACTTTGTGTGTGTTTTTATTTCTTTTACCAGCACCACTGCATTTTTACCCATCTTTCAGAGCACATCATGCGGTTGGGAATCTGTCCATTCCTTGGGATTTTTTGCATTACTTAGTTCCTTGTCTTTGTTTGGGGAGAGGAGCGGGAAAGAAAGGAAGAAAATTGACAGGGGTGAGGAATGATGCTCTGCCAACTCCACAAGACACAAGAGATACCTCACTCATCTCGGGGGTCAAATGTCTGCGATGGTTTGATCAGATGTCAAGTTGCATTTATACTCTGGCCTCTGTTGGGGTTGAATTACATTTCACATTTGACTCACTTCTGGGGTCAAATGTCCCTCCTATTTGCTAGAACAAGAGGAATTATTTTCCCCAAGCAGGTTGTTCTGGATCAGTCAGCACTCTCATTATGTTTTTGGCTCCTTTATTTCAGCATTTCATCCTCAGCTGAGACCAACCCCTTTGGGATGACAAGAACTGCAGCCACAACACAAAAGCCATCCCAACGAGGAGGATGAGGGGAAGGAGCAGGTCACCTGCTTTCACATGTTTTGGATGGCGCTTTGTTTGGGTTTTATGAGGGGTTTGGGGTGTTTTGTTTTTAATTCTTCCCCCTAAGTTAGCAGCTGTGCAGGGCAGGGGATAATGAATGAGAGGCAAGTGAACCCTGATCCCAGCTTCTTGCCATGAGAAACTGGAGAAACCTGGAAAGCTTTGGGTTTGAAGGGACCTTAAAGCTTATCCCATTCCACCCCCTGCCATGGGCAGGGACACCTTCCATGAGAAAAGGTTGCTCCAAGCCCCGTCCAACCTGGCCTTGGACACTTCCAGGGATGGGGCAGCCACATTTTCTCTGGGCAACCTGTGCCAGGGCCTCCCCACCCTCACAGGGAAGGATTCCTACCCAGTATCCCATCCAAACCTCTCCTCTGCCAGTGTGAAGCCATTCCCCTTTGTCCTGTCACTCCAGGCCCTTGTCTCAAGTCCCTCTCCAGTTCTCTTGGAGCCCCTTTAGGCACTGGAAGGGGTTCTAAGGTCTCCCTGGAGTCTTCTCTCCTCCAGGCTGAACAGAACCTCCTCAAGATCAAACACCAGACAAGGGGCTGAGGTAAGGCTGCTGAAAGGGGGCTGCAGGATCTTGACTTGGGAAAAGAACTCAACCCACCAGGCTCATCTATTCCAATGTGATGGCTCCAGTACTGAGTCTGTATGATTTGCCTTTGTCCCCACAGATCCCAAGGTTCTGAGCAACGTCCCATGTGAGCTGTGCAGGGCTGGTGGTTTAGCAGCCTCTGAAGAGGGATTGTGAAACCCCACTCCTGCTGTTTAATGTACTCCTTCGGGCTACAACAGGTTTAGCAAACAATAAAAATCCATCTGGAACCCCCATTTAAATAAGAGAGTTGTGTTATTAGCACTGAAGGCATGGGGGGGCTATGAAGTGCTCTCTGGTAAACAGGCCCTGATGTGCAGGTAAATAAGGGGAGAGGATGAGCCAGTGAGGGTGAGGAGGAAGGCTGCTCCCCATCCTCCTGGGCCAAAGCTCATGCTGGGCGTGAACCACCATTAACACCCCTCAGGGCATGAACTGGGATCCTCACCTTCCTTTGCCCTCCTGCAACCCCAGAGGAGGTTATGGGGGCTCACTGCAGCATCCCACAGGGGCACCCATCCCAACAGAGCCCCAGGTGCCACCCTCTGCCCTTGCACCCCTTGGTCCCATTTCCCAGCTCCCCTCTGACTGTCCCAAGAAAACCAGCACAGGGAGGAGAACTGGAGATGCAAGGCAAGGCAAACTTCCCCATCTATTTTCCAAGTCACTTCCTATGGTGCTTTTGCTGATGGAGAAAGCAGCAAATACATCCTCCATGCACACAACCATCCTTGTAACAGGGGGCACCTGCCCCTCCTCTGCCAAGAGAAAGATACTTCTTCCCTTTTCATCCTTAATTGCTACTGCAAAGTAAATAGAGAACAAATAAGAATAAACTCCTATTTCCCAGGTTACGGGGATCTAAGCTGGTTTGGTCGATCCTTCTCCAGGATCAAACCCAGGACATGAATCCTCCACCACATGATAACCTTTGCTTTTCTTTGGAAGCCAACTCAACTGTGCTGCAGCAAACTATTCCAAACCCTGCAGCATCACCTCTGACTCCCCTCCTGTGCCCACCCAGGGGGGAAGTGGGATGTGACAGGGGCCGAGAAGGAAACACAAATGGTTCCTGCTGGCCATGGTTCTGCCCAAGAGCAGTCTGATCCTGCAGGGACATCATGGCCAGGGACTGTGGCTGGTCACTGACAACCCTTCCTGATGAGGCTGTGGAATAGTTGTCCCTTGGGGGGGTTTTAAAAGCAGAGTGTCTAAGACAACTGCCCCATGAGCATCCACCACCTGCTCGTGGGCTCTGCTCAGCCTGGGGAGGGGGACAGGGCTGACCCCAGTTAGGGCAGCTTGGGCTCACCCTGTTCCCTTCCGTATTTACTCAACCTCTGGCAATTCCTGGCTCTAATGATCAACCACACGCCGTTGTTGATTGACTACATATTTGTTTCTGCTGAATCACTCAACAGCACAAAGTTTGCTGTTCCTTCCCCACCCTGGAAATGCTTCTCACACAAGAACAACCTCTTCCCACTCTGCAGCAGCAGGGGCTTCGAGTGCCTGCTTCCAAAGCCAGAGCAGGAACAACACTTCCAAGAAATGAGCCAACACGCTGCCACACTCTAAGGAGGTGAACTGCAGGTTTTCATCCTGTTTCCAGTGTAATATCCATAGTTTAATCCCCACTGTTATTGGAGTTAGATTCACCATGGATGACTCGCCTGGTAACCCACAGCACTGCCATAGCAAACCTCAGGGACACAGAGTGGTGTGTCTGTGGTCAAAAGGCCCCCACAACAAAATGGCTCAACACAACCCAAAAATGGGATGGTGAAATGTGTTAGCAATGAACTTTCACCTTCCCTCACAAGGCTGGATGGGATGAGATGCTTCCAGCATCTCGAATGTGCCCTGAGCACCCAGCACGCTCTACCCAGGCCAGAGGGGTGCACGTGGGACCAGCTCTCATCTCCTGGTCAGGGGGATAGGCAGGCACGTGCTGAAGTCCTCCCCTCCCAGCAGGACCTAAGCATGGGCTTAACTTTATAGAATCACAGAATGGTTTGGGTTGGAAGGGACCTTAAAGATCATCTTGTTCTAACCTATATTTATGTTTAGGGCTTCAGTGAATGGACATGTCTGTTCCACGTGCACCCAAGCCCAGAGAAGGCTCAGGCACCTGCAAGACACCTTCTATTCTGGTCCTCCACGTGTGGGTTCATAGCTCCAAAACAGGAAACCTTTGATTCCTTTCTCCCCTAACTGCTAATCTATTTAGCTACAGGAAATACTCCACATGAGGGAAGGAGACACCTGAGCTACACACAATACTTGGAAACTTCACCGCGTCCAGAAACACCAACTGCATCTTCATCTGGAGTGAAGGATGGTGAGGCAAAGCTTTTCAGCCTCTCTGGTGGCAGAGCTGTGGCTAAGCCAGGCTCTGGTGACTCACAGCAGCACTGGCACACAAGTGCATCCCACTCCCTGTACCGAGAGCATCCAGAGCTGCTCCTTGGTAGCAGCCAGGCTGAGCTTTCCCATGGACACTCCTGATGCCCCAGGGCAGCAGATTCACAGACAGCTCCTGGAATTTGTGCTTGAGCATAGCCTGACTCCCCTAAAAATCTCACCACTCTCCCACCCCAGCAAACCAACACTTACCTGATTGGCAGATAGAAACTCCTGGGCGTTGTCATTCATTCCCATGTACATGTTCTCTCCATCAAACTAGAGAGGTAAAAGAAAATTAAGAGTCAGTGAAATGCCATCTGCACACCACAGTCATGTGCATCCCAAATGCCTTCCTGGCTCTTCCTATCAAGAGCCAAAATTCCCAGAGGAAAATCCTGAGCTGCTCCTTTAAAACTTTGGAGCACGTATGAGCACACTTACATCCTGGTTATTGCAACGGGACATGGTAACACAGCACAGTTATGGCAATTTTTCAGTGAAATAAGGAATGAATCACTCAAGTTCAAACAAATAAGCCAAATGTGTGCAAACCCACAGATGTGCCCTGCAGCAAAGATCACCCAAAAAAAGCTCCTGCTAAAATTCCTACTAGACCATTAATCAGCTGTAAAAAGCCAGCTTCCATTAATGGAAATTTCCAAGACAGGCAGGTCCCATTCAGTGCTCTCTCAGACCTCTGTGTACCCCTTAACACCAAAGCAAAGCTCCCGCAGCAACGCGGAATCGCTCCGGAGTGTACGGGGGGGTTCTATATGCAAAGCCTGATCTCCCACCTTGATTTTGCTGCTGTTTGCACACTCTGGCTGCCAGAACACATTCTCCCCCACCTCCTGTTCCCCTGCCTGCTCTGCCAGGACTGTGCCTCCACGGCTGGGCAGGAGGCCGAGCAGCCTGAGCACTGCGCATCCGCCCGTGTCCCCGCGGCTCCGGAAAACACCCGGCTCCCAGCTGCTAATCCACTTACTGGGCTACAAAAACCCCCGTGGAGAACGACAACTCTCCCCATTAATTAGCTACAACGGGAGCTTTTCACTTGCTCCCGCTCCAAAGGAAGGAAAAAAGCCCTCCAGGATTGTCTCCGGCTCGAAGTATGGCTGGGGCCAGTCCTCAAGGCTAAGTTCACAAATTAATTATGGCAATAAAACGGGCTGTGCCATAAAACACTCCCGAGACGAGGATGGAGGTACCAGCTGTGAGTGACACCTTGTACTTAACAAGGGGAAGAACCAGCCCTCTTGCCCTCATGAGCAGGATGATGAATTGAAGGTTGTTCACCCTTGCATGCCCTCTCACTCTCTGATATGAAGCTGATACCAGTTATGCCTTAACAGAAATGGGCTGCATTAAGAGCAATAAAAGCGAAATCTAAATAAAACCAGGTGAAGATTTTCAGCCTAGACAATTAATTACACTTCCATTTCTTGGAGTGCTACAGGATTAGCTATTAAAGTCAGCAGAGTTAGTAAAGCCAAGTGGGGGCAACACTGCTCTGCTCAGCCTCAGACACCCTCTAATTGCCAAACTATCCTTTGGGATAGCAGAGCAAACCAATTAAAAGCTGCAAAATTGGAGCAGGTATTGTGACACTCATTAACTAATGCCAGCAGAAGCTGCAGCAGAGTGGAAGGGGATCCCTGTGCAAATGCTGGATTCTGTTAAATCTGTCAGGAGCTGTGGGATGCAGCAACCACCAGCAGCACTATGGGCTCACTGGGAAGCTCTCCCAGAAGGCAGCCAGGTGCCACCCACTCTAAACTGAATGTCCCTCCACCTGTTAAATGATCACTGGCACAGCCAGCTCCTGCCACTGCAGTTCCAGCTGGAGCTGCTGTGCTTCCAGGCACGGAAGCTCAACCAGCTCTACAGCCTACAACCAGCTCTGCACCCCCTGACAACCCCACCAACCCCAGCAGACATGGCTGAACTGGAAGAAGAGACAGCACAGGTCAGTGGAGAAAGAATCACAGAATCATTTAGGTCGGGAAAGCCCTCTAAGACCATCAAGTCCAACCATTAACCCAGCACTGCCAAGGCCACCTCTAAACCATGTCCCCAGGTGCCACATCCACACAGCTTTTAAACTCCTCCAGGGATGGGGACTCCATCACTGCCCTGAGCAGCCTGACCACCCTTCCAATGAAGAAACTTTGCCTTACGCCCAACCCAAACCTCCCCTGGCACAGCTTGAATCACTCTCCTCTTTTCCTGTCACTTGTTTCTTGGGAGAAGAGACCGACCCCCACCTGGCTACAACCTATTTCTCCAGAAAACAGAAGTCACCTGGAAAGTTACATTCAGCAAACAAAAAATATCCTTCACAGTGCAGGTCCAGGGCAGGACAAACACCCTCTTTCTCCATATCCTTCTGTTTCTCAGAAGGTAATTTTTTTATGGCTTTCTACTATTCCCCTACCTCCACTCCACACTTCCTTCTGCCCTTGATGCCTTCATAAGAACTGTAATGAATCCTGCCTTCAGAATTACTGTTCCTCTGATTGCCAGGCTGAGCAGCGAGCCTGAAAATCAAGACTCGAAATGCAATGGAAACTTTGGAACTTCCCCACTGCTGATTGGATTTTTTTTTCCCTCTCCTCCAGGCTATGAGGGTGCAAACAAATTTATTAGAAATTCTCCCATCAGGATATTTTTTCAATTAGATGTTTGCCTGTTATATACCAGCCAGGTAGAGAAGATAAGTAATGTGCTCTCCCTCTTCTCATTATTGTTTTGCTACAGAATGCACTTCAAAACAATCAACCCCATCATTCCAGGTAGATTTACGGTAGAAAGAGATATTTTAATATTTCCCTTTGGTTATAAACACTTCCTCCCTTTCTCCTCTGCTTTCAGACCCGGTGCAGACATTCATCACCCTCTGTACCCCAAAACTGATCCAACCTGCACTGGACAATGTGCACATGTGAGGTGGCAGGTATCACTTTCAAGTCCTATTTGAAAGGAAAATACTCTTGTGCAGTTGTCTTAATCATCCTTTTGCTCTGTTGTAATGACTTAATTTTATTATTCTTTGGCTAATAGAAGCAGCCTATTAAATAAATCAGTGGCTGTGGCTGATTGTCACCCTCTCCTGCATGAAATGAGCACGAATCTGAGGAGGGAAGGAAAAAAGGAAGGGAAAGGGGAAAGGGGAAAGGGGAAAGGGGAAAGGGGAAAGGGGAAAGGGAAAAGGGGGAGGGGAAAGGGGAAAGAGAAGGGGAAGAGGAAGGGGGGAAAGGAAGGGAAAATGGGAAATGGGGAATGGGGAGGGGGAAAGAGGAAAAGGGAAAGGGGAAGGGGAAAAGGAAGAGGAAGGGAGGGGGAAAGGGAAAAGGGAAGGGAGAAAGGGAAATGGGAAGGCCAAAGGGAAGAGGAAGAAGGGAAGGAGAAGGGCAAGAGGGGAAGGGGAAAAGGGAAGGGATTTCCCCTCTTCCAGAGGAGGTGTATCTGGCATTGCAGAGCTCAGCCCCTACAGGGAGCTCAATTCAGATGTTGTTGTACAAAGCACTTTTTTAATTTTAATTGCTTTTCTAGACTCACTTTGGTTTGTTATTTTTGCCCTACAACATTATTTTCAAACCTGTAAATGTGCCCAGAGGTCACATGGGTCCCATGTTCAGCAAGATGAAAATGAGTAAAGGAAATAAATGCAGGCAGCATGTTGGGACAGACCCCAAAGCAGCTGTGGGATCTCTGGCTCTGAGCAAACACAGAGAACAAATGTTTGCTAACTGGGAAGGACCCAGTGGAAAGAAACACAACCTCCTGCCAAGATTCCAAGAAGGTGTTACTTTTTCATGGATGGCACTGCCAGCTTGTACAATTTATTATGAATCTCATCACATCCTTTTATTTCCTGAGAGCCACGAGCTGAGAAGAAAATCTCAACTCTGTAAGAAATATGTTGGCAGGACTCATGCCAGAATGGCTTCTATACCTGTAAGATCTCAGAAACCTTCCAAACTTTTTATATAATATAATTTTAATTTAGGTGTGGTGGATTTGGGGTTTTGTAGTTTTTTCTTTGGTTGTTTCTTTTTTTTTTTTTTTTGAGGGGTCTTACCTAAATTTTGACATTCATTGTTGGCAATATGAAAGAGAGCAGCTTAGTCCACTGAGAATCTGGAGCTGGAAAAAGTGGCCTGTTAATACAAATCCAGCAGTAACTAAAAGTCATCATCTTCAAGGAGATACTAAATGACCAGTTAAGAACAAACTGGATCCTTCTAATGATTCCTGCTGCCCAGAGCTATAAGCAGTTGCCTCCCAGTTTTATCTCCTTGTGCCAGAACACAGAAGGTTTCATGAAAAGAGAAAAATCACCTTGGGTACCTTCCTTGGAGGAGTCTGGGGCTGCTACCTGGGAATCTCAGCTCCTAAGAGGAGATGGGAAAACACCTCAGGAGATGCCTGGGAGGAGTCTCAGGTGGATTCCAGAGCAGAAATTTGCCTCCAAAAGACAAAAAACATCTTGGACCAGGACATGGGAGATGGGCAGCAGGTTCCCTGTCATGACCACCTCATTTTCAAACTGGCTGCACTGGGAATACCACCTTTCACCAGAGATGCTTGGAATGTAGCAGCTGGTTTTTGTGTCCAGTGAGCTACACCTCAACCACCACTACCAACAAGGCACAGAGGGACCCACAACAATGCCATGCAAGAAATGCCTTCAGGTTTTTAGTGAGAAAAGAGTTAGGATACAAGAAAACTTGTATAACACAGCCAACGCCATATTTAATACTCCTCGTTTTAAAATAATAATGATACAATAATTGCAGCCTATGTGTTGCTGGGCTTCATTCAGCTGCTTCTGATGGCACCCTGCCCAGCATTGGGAAACATAATTCTTCTTTAGAAAGTGTTACAGAAGTAGTTTTGTCCACAATTCATTTTTATCAGCATTATTTAAGTGGCAGAACCACATTCTGCTCTAAAGGGCAGTTTGGCCACGGTACTTCCAGCCCTGCACACTTCCAGCCCTATGGATGTGCTGGGCACCCAGCTCCAAACCCAAGGATCCTGGCTCTGGCAAGGATCCTCTTTACCAGTGCAATCTCTGCCTAATCCCTGGGATGTGGAATGCTCCCTGCCCCTGGCAGCGCTGCCGGGCTGAGCGGCCGCCGTGATTCCCTCCAGGAGTAATTCAGCATCACGGCCTCTCCCGGGAATACACGGCTGAGGTTGGCTTAATCTCTTTAACCGCAGTTTCCCCATTAAGGTCTTTACACAACCTCTGGCCCGAAGTGATCTACTTA